CTTTTGGCACATTTATCTATGATAATACGATAAGAAAGACATGTTAGTTAGTACTCGGTTGAGTAAGGTACCGGGTGCCCGTCGTGGCCCTACGGTTTAGGTTGTGACAGTCTTGATGAAAATTGTTGGCGTGCTATGTTGTTATGATTTTTGCATATGTGGACGCGTTTGGCGGATTGTTTAGGTGTTGGCACGAGGTATTTGCTATGCTATTATTATTATTGTTGATATTACAAATATGGTGAGACAAGAGGGCCTATATCGGGTTTGCACATGTGGCGAGACAAGGTGGAATGATTTGTTAATATACCAGTGGCGAGACAAAGTTGGTATTTACTCTATTTTAACACACGCGGTGAGATAAGGATGGTATTATAATATTTTTGTGCCTGATGGTTTTGGGAGTTATTCTTGCTGAGTTTATGTGATTTTTTGATGGCATCTCTGATATTATTACTATGATGGGATGGAAGTAATAGATTTATCCTGTACTCATTTTCATTAAAGCTTTGGTCTGTATTTATATAAGTTGAGGAATTTCGTTCATCAGTCTATTTCATATGCTTTCTCTTCTAATTGATACCTTGTTGATATTACTTTTCACTTCATGTTGTACTACCAGTTATTTATTTATCGAATATGTAATTTAACTAGTGAGTATCATGACTTGAACCTCGTCGTTACTCCACCGAGATTAGTCTTGTTACTTACCGGGTACCGACTGTGGTGTAATCATACTATGCTTCTTCAAATTCCTTGTGCAAATTCAGGTACTTCGGCTAGAGCTTATCGTTAGGAGACGTGCTATGATTGGTTGAAGAGTTCAAGGTATTCATGTCGTTCCGTTCCCAGGCCTCGAAGTCACCCCCTTACTTCATTTTCTACTATTTACGTATCCAAATCAGTGAGTACTCTTTGAGACTTATTATGTATTCAATGTAGAGCTTACGACTTCGTATTACCGGATTTTGGGAAGTTGTTTATTGTACTCATGCCTGGCAATATTATCATATTTCGCAGTGTTTTGTTAATTTTGAAGTTGTTTTATGTTGATTGAGATCTTATATGATAGGCTTACCTAGTCTTGGGCACTAGGCCATCACGACCTTTATGATGGGATTTTGGGTCGTGACACCAACCTGCCAAGCTTACGCAAATGTGATCCTTGCTCTGCGAATGCAAAGGTAATTCCTCTGCCTGGCACCACACTATCACGAAGGCGGCCCCTTGCACGCGAACGCAATGCTCCTACCTCTGAATCCTATATCAAAGCTACACCAACTACACTAATGCGAAGAGAAAATCTTGCCTGCTAGATCCCCTTCTTTTCTATCATGAGGTAAGTTACGTGATCGCGAAGCACTGCTCAGCACTAGAAAACCAGCAATTCCAAACTAAAGGAAAATGGTATGAAACCACCCCGAAACACATCCTAGCCCACGTGAACCTGTTCTATTATACCAACAAGTTCCTAAACCTAATCCAAACTTATTCAAAAGCTCAAAACACCACAACCAACTTTAAAACCAAGAATTGACGCTCAAAATTCATCTCTTAGCTTCCAAACTTTCTAACTTCACCAAACTCGTCTAAATCATGCTTAAATATTTCATATTCCAACCAAACTTAGCATACAAGTTCCAATCAACTAAATGAACCTATCCAATGTCCTGTAACACCAAACGGATGCCGATAATATCAAAGTCAACTCCCCGTCAAACTTATAACCTCTCCAAACCTTAACTTTCGACAAATAGACTAAAAACCTTCTAGGAATCTCCTAATCCAAATCCGAACATACACCTAAATCTAAAATTACCATACGAACCTATTGGGACCATCAAATCACCAATCCGAGGGTGTTTACTCAAAAGTCAAATCTTGGTCAACTCTTACAACTTAAGCTTTCAAAAAGAGACATAAGTGTTCCAAATCGCTCTCTAACCTTCACGAAATCAAACCAACCTTCCCCGCAAGTCACAAAACAACAAACAAACATATGGAAAGCATAAAATAGGGGAACAAGAGTCAATACACAAAATGACTAGCTGGGCTATCATCCAATTGATAAAACATCTTGATATTACCCATTAATAAATTAAACAAAAAACATTTATATTGTACATAATTATTATATCAAGATTAAGAGTATATGTATATCGAGTGAACTAGAAAATTTAATTTATGTAGTAAGCATAAAGATAAGTATTATACTTGGTCATGTTCTATACATTTAAAATGTCTTGAGTTTTTTCAAGTATCTAAGAGCCCGTTTGGCCATGAATTTTTTTTACCTTTTTTTTCGAAAATAGCGTTTGGTCATAAATTTTTTACTTGAAGATGAATTTTCGAATTTTTTGATAATTTGAAAAACTTCAAAAAGCTATTTTTCAAAATTTTCACTCAGATCACTCACAAAAATAAAAAAACAACTCAAAATTATATTCATTTCCAAACACAACTCTAATTTTCAAATACCATTTTCACTTTCTTCCAGAATTTTACAATTTTTATGTCCAAAGTATATGTAAATAAGTAACCAAACACCTGGGTCGTATGTAGGTATTATAATACGGGAAAATCTCACTTTATATCCATTAAGCCCAAACTATTTACTTTTGAAAATTTTACTTCCTATAGCAAAGGTATACACCCTATTTATTATAAATCGAAATTATTTTAAAATATTATTTTCTATAGCTACCTTTTATATTTTATAGCAAAATAAGTATTTAAGGTATATACTACCATTGAGGCATGAAATACGCTATTTATATTTTAAATATCTCTTAGACAACTAGACATACCTATTTTTAAGGTGATTGTTGTTACTGTATTCATGAACACATGCGAATACATATGAATACATGCGCGTACAATGCAACTGCCCGATTTTAGGCACTTTTTACTGTTGTATTCATGAATACAACAGCGCGAATACATGTGAATACATGCTCGTACAGCTGGACTGCCCTGATTTAAGGTGTTTTTTACTGCTGTATTCATGAATACATGTCGCAAATACATGTGAATACATTCGCGTATAGCTGAACTGCCCTGATTTATAGGCTCTTTTTGTTGTTGTATTCATGAATACAACAGTGCGAATACAACGAATACACTACCATAACAACTGAATAATAGCTATAGGAAGTAATTATGTATATGGTAGCTATAGGAAGTAGTTATGTATATGGTAGCTATAGGAAGTTAATAGTCACTAAACAATAGTGGTTTTTGAAAATTTCTCTTTACTTTTCCTACTGTGCAGCCCAAACTATTTAACCGGCCCACCCATTAGCTATTTGCCTTCTCATTTGAACTAGAGAATGTTAAAAACATTCGGCTTTATTTTTGTAAGCTTATCTGGTAGTGGACTTGAATGGATCTACTTCTTCTTTGCCAGATCGATCTTCATTAAGAGAGTCAACCAAAGCTATTGTTCTACCTCCTTTCCTTATGATTTTTGTGTGTGTATGAGACCCACCATTGTTGAGCTTGAAGCTCCTGAATTTGAAATTTTACTTTGAAGATTTATTTTTTGATTCGACGTGAGTGCTATAAAATATTTCTTATAGTACCTTCGAATAAGCTTCCCAAATCTGAATTTTTCTGCGTGTTTGAATATCCACCATTGTTGGCTTGACGCTGAATTTTTATTTTTTAAAATTTCTTGTTTGATTCAAAGTGGGTGTTATTAAATATTACTTATAGTACCTTCTGGAAGTTCATACTGAAATTTGATCATATTTGAAGTTGATTTGAGGTGATTGAGATCGAATATTTCAGTTGAAAATCGAAGAAAAACAATAGTTAGCTAATAGTATACTGCTACGGTATACAATATGTTTTAGAAATATATAGCTATATTGCAACAATATATTATTATAGTATACAATATACTGCAACAGTATACTGTAATAATCGAAGAAGAACACAATTACCTAATAGTATACCATTATGGTATACAATATAGTGTATGAGTATATAGATATAATGCAACTGTATACTATTATATTATATAATATACTGTAATAGTATATTGTACAATAATGTGCAATATACCTCAACAATATACCGTAATAATATATAATATACCATAATAATATACTATTTTAATGTAATAGTATAATGTAGAATGAAGAGCATAAATATCATTTTCATATATTATATGTTATTTTGGTATATAATATATAATTCAATAGTATACATTTTATTATAATAATATATTATTATAATATACAATATGATGTTATAATTGAGTCATTTTTTAAATTTTTTAACTGAATCCTTTTTAAATATATTAACAAAGTTCTCATGCTTTTTACATTTTTTTTTTCTTAAAAGAGGCGTTAGATGGAATTTCATGGAGATTTATTTATTGTATTAGAAGTAGATGATGAAAATAATAATTTTTTCTCTCTTCTCGATACTTAACTTTTATGGGCAACCTACGATTTCACCTCTTGTTGGCTTTCTCACGTTCTCGCTTCCCTTCTCCTTATGTTATGTGTCACGAATAAATTATGGGCACAATTTAATCTCACGGTTTAACAATAGCCTCTTATGACTTTCCATTAACTTTATGAAGGCATAGCCACAATCACGATTCCCCTATCTCCTTTCACAATGGGTAGGAAGGATAATTAGTTTGGTGGGTAGAAAAATTAATGATAGATAATAGTAATTAGTTTAGTTTTTGTGGCTAAAGTTATAAAACTCCCTTATATACCTTATTCATCCAAACAAACGAGTCCCAACATTATTTGATACAAAAATGTATTTTTAAGAAATTAACTTAAGAAACACATGGGCTGAAATGCCAATTTTCGAAAATGACGGTACTGTTGTCAAGAAAATGTATAACCAACAAAAGTTTTGTCGAAAATGTTGGTTTAGTTTCCAAAACCAAACACAAATCGTACAGGTCTGAGTAGTCTATTGAAATGAAGTGAAGTGGTTAACCACATTTAACGAGACGAGGAAAAAAAAAAACATAAGAAAAATCTCCAATTGAAAATAATAAACAAGTCGAAGTAGGTAGCTTAGTGAAAATGAAGTCTATTATCTTTATTGCTGCTTCTCCATTTGGATCCTTAAACAAACTATGGAATCCGCAACGAGTTGGATCCATTCTTTGTTGTTCTTCAGCTTCATTATTGCTTCTTTACATCTACTAGACACACTGATTATCTCAAGTAGACTAACCACCGACCAAAATATCCAGCTGATAAAGAAGCAGACCCAGCTGCCTCTGCGTTTCAACTCTGATGGAACCTTCAAAATTCTGCAGGTTATAATAGAAACTTAAGCTGTTTCTTTTTGCAGTTACTTTGTTGTATTTTGTTTGAGTTTAATGGTTTTAGGTGGCGGATATGCACTACGGGAATGGGAAGGTGACTCGGTGTAGAGATGTATTGGAGAGTGAGTTCAATTATTGTTCCGACCTCAACACTACTCAGTTCTTGAGGAAAATGATTGAGATTGAAAAGCCAGACTTGATTGTATTTACTGGTAATAAGTTTAACTTTTCCCTTCTGTTAATAATCAGAGTTCAGAACTAAATCAAGTATGCCTTGACATAATCTGAAGTAAGAAAAACACTTTCCTTTTCCGGGTGACAGTTCTCAGCAGAAGTTCTAATTTAAGATCAATTTTCAGTAACTGTTTCCTGCCTTTCCCCAAATGGTATGATAGAGATTCAGAATATGCTAAATCTAGCGGCCTAAGTAAATTACTGTATTCTCACGTTATTGTTTATCGCAGGTTTTCATTGTAAATCCAACTCAGCCAAAGTAAAATTTAATTTCAATCATCTTTTATTAGTGAATTTACTTGTGTAAACCTTTCAAAGCCACTCCAGCTTAACATGAAAATTATTTATGAAGATTTCTTAAAATTGTTGTTGGACCCCTATTGAATTGTGAAACTCTTTCCCTTCAATGAGCTGAACTGCTGAAGCAATATTTAGACTTAGTGAAGGACCATTAGAATTTATCTATAGCCATCACATTTAAGAGGTATGGGGTGATTTGTTAAGTACAATGTTGATAGATATAAAGTTCACTCACAAAAATAAAATACTTTCAGGAAGACCAATAAAGTTTCATTATTACAGGATACGATGGTTTGTAGTTACGGATCTGATTATTATTGTTTTTCCAAGAGCAAGTTCTTCCTATTGTCTTCCAGTTGGATCTAATAATCAATACTTTTGGTTCTAACAATCTTGGAACAATTGATTAAGATTTGGGAAGATTGTTAATCACATTCAAAAACTAACTCGTGACTGACATTGGGAACTAACTAAGCGACTACTTCAGCTAGTATTAGATATTAAAAACATGATTACAGATAAAGAGACAAGAAAGTGACTAGTTCTTAGCTAAATCATCAGAAACCTTCTTTAGATCTTGTATCATAATATATTATGAAGCTCTCTTTGCTTAAAATATTAGCTCAGTGTTGTTTCAATCTCTCATCCTCTTTGCAGAACTTGATACAATTTAATCTTGCTTTCATATGTGTGACTGTGTGTTGTTTCGTATACAGGTTGCAGGGTTAATTATGTGGCTTTTGAGTCCTCATGTCTTGTACTGCCTTTTTCATAGCCACGATATGAAATTAATTAAGAAACTAAATGAATAATAGGGTGTGCATGCTAATTATCATTAGGTAAGAAAGGAGTACTATATTGCAGATAGCAAGTATTTGGTTGCAGCGAGACGGGGCTGAAGTTTCTAAATGAGAAAAAAAAATCTTGGAGAAAGTGAAAATAGGAAGGTATAACTTATTAGAGTAAGAGGAGGCAATGGTAGAAGGGTATAATTTACATAAGAGTACAAGCAGGGAATTGTAGGTTTAACGAGAAAATTGACACTGTGAAGGGGTGCATGATTACTTGCTGTCCATACAATACCATAGACATAAAGGTTAATAATTTATTGTTAAAGCAAAACCGAAGGTTCAAGCAAGGGATGTGGATTGAGTCCAAGTTCTGGACAAAGAGGGGGCCTTTGTGTTTTCATCTTTCCTAAATCGATTGATCAAGATCCCAGCGTGATAGACCGGGTCAAATTGAGGAGCTTGCAGCGGAAATAGGTTCCTGGCTCGTCAACCGAATGCCTCACCTAGCGACTCCCGACTTGAGTTCCGGAACCATAGCCATTTAACGGGATTCGAGAAATGCCAAGGCTCAAGGACCTCTAGGACATGGAACAGTACTTTAAGGCAATCAAGGTGAATTGTAAAAAATATCTAAGCCAAGCTATTGAATCCAAGCCTAGTGAAATCAATCCTCCAAGCCTAATCATACAGTGACAAACTTTTAAGGAACAACCATGGAAAGTAAGTTAAAGAAAGCTATTGAAAACTTTTCAGTTTACAACTAACAAATTATAATTGAAAAAACAAGAAAACAGATGTCCACAACCTATTGAAAACTTCTTTTAATTTCACTGTCATAAGAAGAAAACAAGTGATGAAGTTCACATTCCTATCATTTTGCTTGTTAACACCTGAGTTTCATTGCATCCTGATGTGCACATGCACTTCCAATCTTTTGGATCAAATTTGGGCCAGTTTAACTTGATTAGGTCATTGGTCTATGATCTTTGCTATTTTGCTCTAGTCTCACCCAGTTATTTGAATGGAGAGCTTGTCAAAATCTGTTTTAGCTACATGGTGCTTCTTCTGTAAAGAATCCTTTGAATGATGTAGGGATGTACCCATGGCTTTGGGATTAATTACCTTAATTTGATAACTAGGTCTCTGTCATATCCCTTTGTTATATTTCATGCTTTGTTTAGGTTATCCTTGTGCAGGACATGGATGTTTTGGTTTAAATTACACAGTGGATTTGTTGAATAGGTTATTTCATTTAACATTGAAATATTCTAATGAGTCAATAATGTATGAAACTCTCATTTCTAATCTTATGGTGGCTGAGATTATAGAATTCTAATTTGCAAATACATTAGTGAAAAATTCCAGGTGCTTTCTTGTTGTGTGTTCATCTGTAATCTTTGTAAAGTTCACTTCACTTTGTTATACAGGAGATAACATATTCGGAGCAAGTGCCACTGATGCTGCAGAATCTTTGTTTGAAGTTTTTGCTCCTGCTATAGAATCCGGAATTCCATGGGCAGCAGTTTTGGGGAACCATGATCAAGAATCTACCATGAATCGTGAGGAACTTATGTATTTAATCTCCCTGATGGATTATTCTGTGTCACAAACCTTCCCATCAACCAAAGTTACCTCGGATCCAGTAAAACAGCAACAAATAACAAATATTGATGGATTTGGCAACTACAATCTTGAAGTGTGGGGTGCACCTGGCTCATACTTTAGTAACAGCAGCATTCTTAACCTATATTTTCTAGACAGTGGAGATAGAGCTGTTGTCGATGGAGTTCGGACTTATAACTGGATCAGGGAATCTCAACTAAGTTGGCTTCGTGATATTTCTAAAAGATATCAGGTATTGTAATGGCAGACATTAGAAGGAAGCATATATGAATTTTTTCTCTCTTTCTCTCACTCTCTCTCTCTTTCACACGCGCACATACACACACACATGTACCTGTGTCCAGCATTAGCCTTCCATGTGCATGACTTAGTGATTCACTGTTCAGCATTCTATCCCAATTTTGCCATTTCTTAGAACTTTCTGTTCTGTGTTTTCATTAATTGTTTCTGCTCTGACGACGTAGGTTTAGCCTATTCAGTATTTATTATTAACATTTTGCAGGTCAATACAATCACAGGGACAATGGAAGTATGCTGATCAATCAGTCGAGAGTTCTCTGTCAATGATACATCCTGCACTAGCGTTTTTCCATATCCCGATTCCAGAAATTCGTCAGGGTCCCATAAAAGATATTGTTGGCACGTACCGGGAATATGTGGCATGTTCGTCAGTAAACTCCGGAGTTTTGAAGACCTTTGTCTCAATGGGGGATGTTAAGGCTGTTTTTATAGGTCATGATCATACTAATGATTTCTGTGGGAATCTACAAGGTATATGGTTTTGCTATGGTGGAGGCTATGGATATCATGGTTATGGTATAGCTGGATGGCCTAGAAGAGCAAGGGTTATACAGGCAGAACTTGGAAAGGGAAAAGACGTGTGGATGGGTGTGGAGAAGATCAGAACATGGAAACGACTTGATGATGGTGTACTGACCAAGTTTGATGAGCAAGTCTTGTGGGACAGAAAATCATTAAGATGAAAGTATCAGGTATAGACTGTTCTTTCTGTTGGTTTTCTTAATTGCTTTCTCAGCCTTTTTGCTAAGATCTTCTCCCTCCGTCCTGATTGATGTGGCGGTGTTTGACTCGGCAAGGAGTTTAAGAAAGAAAGCAAGACTTTTGAAACTTGAGGTCTAGAACAAACCATAGATATTTGTGTGGCTGTAAATCAATTCATTGAGGGTAAAGTAGGAATTCTAAAGATAAATTGTTTTTAAATAAGAAAAAGTGACATTCTTTTCGCGACTGACTTAAAAGGAAAGAGTGCTACATAAATTCAGACGGCAGGAGTAGTGTATCTGATTTGTGTATTTTGTCTTTTTTCATTTCATCTTGCTGTAGGTAGGATATATTTCCATCCAGAATTGCAGTTACCTTTTGTAAACATGCATGGATGATATGTTTTATCTTATGAATGATTGAGAATTTGAGATTGAACTGCTTTAAGCTTTCTGAAAGTAGCACTAGGCTTTTAAGACTTTTGTGAGTCGCACTTGAGCTGTTCTAAAAGAGAGAAAACTAGAAGTGCTGTGAATCCCTGGTGAAATAGATACTTCATAATTTGTGGTCTAGAGAGGTTCCACTTTAATAGGGTACCTAAAAGCATGGGGCCAGAACAAAGAAGGAAAAATAACAAATTGTTGCAGTTATGATCTTTGTTATATAGAGTCATTTATGGGTGTGTACCCGATCCTACACGGATGTCAGATGTGCAAGTATGTGATACACGAGGATGTGCGCCTTTTATTCTACTTTTTAGTGTAATTGACAAATATCTCAGAGTCAATACCTGTATTACACCCGTTTGACACCATTACATCAAGACCGGTGAAGGATCTAATTAACAACGGTCGTGGTAGTTAAGACGTCCCTTTATAGCATTTTAGTGCCTGTTGATTAGGAACTTGTACATCGTTATGGATGATTTACCTTATTAAAAGTTCAGCCAGCTTATTGTTGTTTTTTAACTGTGCCCATATCGTTTAATCAGAAAACAATTAATTTATGTATACTTGGAAACATTTAAAGGAGTAGAGAAAACCAGGGCACAAGTTAATATAGACAACATAATTCTTACTCTTAAATCTTGTCAGATTTATTCGTTATTTGTTAACTTATGGGAAGCAAGCTAGAATTTGATACAGAAGCAGTATTTCATAACAATTCTTCTTTGCATAACAATAACTACTACTTCTGGGCCTCAACGCAAAACTAGTTGGATTAGCTATATGAATCCTCTTCAGTAATTATGCTTCATTTGGACCCTTTCCATTCTGCTACTCAATAATGTCTTTTTGAACAAATTAGAATTCTCTAGTTCTGCTACTTAATTGTTTTTCTGTTTTAGGAGATACTAGAATTCCGTAAAAACATTAATTCACTGCATCTCACGCCTATGTCTACAGTCCCTACACTCTCAAACCAAATAGAGAAAAGTCATGTCAAACACCGACCAAAAACTCCTATCACGCACTGGATGCTAGTGCGAGTGTGCCAATAACAACTAACCCTAATCCCAGCTGGTTGTTATGCCTATAAAGGTACTTTGCTTCCTAAGTCCGTAGGGACAAGTATTCTTTGCATTTGAAAAATTAAAAGTGATTCAGTCCCATGAGTTAGTTTTTAGAATGTTTCAACACTAATTACCTCTAATCCAACTTGATTACATCATAGCCTTTAGTATTCTTTTTTATATTTTTCGTTTTGGTATAAATTCACATCTTCAGTTTAAACAAGTAACACTGTATAAGCATGCAACTTTACATATTATTCGGTACAGAAAGTCTTCCCATACACTTGGTAAGAGTACTTTTCAACTAAGCATATCAGAATAGTTCCCAAGGGTCTAGAGAACTATTCTCCTTCATCCTGCCAAACATTCCGTCTTGACTGACCTAACTAATAAGTTATCAGCCTCTTTGAATCTTCATTAGCAGAATTTTTTATGAATACCTCAAGTTAAAGTCACGAGAGAGCTCTTCTTTATCTTCGATCCACTTTATCAGATCTCACGTTTGATGGATACTCTCCAGGTACAGATTGGTACCATAGGTGATTGATTATTAAATTAATGCTGTCAGGTTGGTGATTTTTATCACTTGGAGGGGGTTAATTAGTGGTTGTTTTGTTATGATAGGGGTGGTACGGAAAGCGGGTGAGTGGATAGGGAGAAGCTGATCAAGGGAGAATTGAAGATGATTGATAATCAGCATGAAAAAATATGGACAAAGTAATCTAGGAGAAGCATTGGAGGGTGAAGTTGGAAAACAGAACAAGAGGAGATCACTCTTGGTAGAGGCGGATGGAGCTTATATACTATGAACCCATTAATTTTAAATCCTATATTTGCCTCTACTCTTGGGAATAGGAAAAGTTTGTCTATGAAAAGCCAAGAGTTGATCCACATTTGAAATATTAATATTAATTAAAAGAAAAGAAAGAAGCTTGACAAAGTTTGGTTCAAAAGCCGCCTGAGCCAGCTTATCCGTCTATGAACCTTGACGAAGTCATTTAAAACTCGTGAATGTCTGCTACACTGTGATGAACAAGTGACATCGAGATGTTAAAGAAGTTTGGATCTATTGTCAGCGGAAAATTTCTTTTCTCTGTCTCATATGTAATTTGGCTTGCTAAACTATGGCTTCAGTCAAATTAAGATCTTTTCATGAGAAATAAATGTGAATTAAAGTCTAAGGCACCATATGTTCATCATTCTTGATGGAAACTGATTAATGATTATGTTCAAATGTTTCTTTTCATGGTTATATCTCGAATAAAAAAGCAGTTGAATTAGATTATTTCGCAATAATTCCCCTTTTCCTCCATTGCTTTTCTTCTTCTTTGGGGACTGGAAGGGTGTTCTCCTTTTCTTTTTTTTCCCGAAGAGGATTTACAAGCACTTACCTCCCACTATTGTTTTCATTTGCAGGATTGACTCGATATGGTGGACCTATATGGTCGATGTACGTTTTTGCAATTTTTTAGCTGGCTCTTGATTTGGTTGATATTTCCACGTAAAACCCTTTGCAGTTTGAGGGGAGTTTATTTCAATTATGTAACATAGTTTGAGTTGTAATGTGCAAGCCTTGCAATATTGCTGCAAGAGTAGGTTAGAGAGTTGTAACTGTGCAGTTGTGAACAAAAGAATTAGTATCAAGTTTGTTCCACGTTTTACGGTGATTTGACAGAGCAAACTTTCTTTCAATTACCTTACTGGAGGTTTATGGCAGGTTGCTCTTTTAGCATAAGTAATGTCTAAAACATTTGCCTAAATTTATGGGTTTTTTTATGTTACATGAGTTTTATAACTTTACTGTATTGGTGGGGAAAAAAAAATATGACACATTGAGTAATGAATGTTGAAAGGTGGCATTTGGATAAAAGCAATAAACAGGAATGACGAGGCGTGGTTAAAACACCCGCGGGGTTGTTTGCAAAGATATCGTATCTGACAATCGGGAAAGAAAAGATAGGCATGAGATGCATGAAGACTACAAAAAGGGAAGATCCATCGGTGGTTACGAATATGGGAAAAGAATCAGCATAATCCCTGATTACATGCGATTGTCTATTATTACCATAATTGTTATGAATAATTTGAGTAATGGGCAATTAATGTAATTAATGTTAGTAATAGGCAAGAATTAAGTGTGGAAAGTCATTACATATTGTATCTTTATATAAACTTCCCGTTCCATTTTTTGTACAAGGATGAAGGAATTTACAAATATATGCAATTAGCTTTACTCTTATTTTCTTGCTTGATTGAAATTCTTAGTCTCAATTCTTCGAAGAAAGCTGCGATAATTAATAAGATTTTCTTTCCTTTACTTATTGGCTATTTAGCTACTATTATTTCTAGTTCTCTTATATTTAGAAAAGTGAAGTAAAATTGATTATTAGAAACCCGATTTATTTATATATTTGCTTTGACCACTAGAATTATTTTTTGGTTAAACGAATTGGTATCGTTACAGGGAATCTAATAATTTGTTCACTTTCCATATTTTATCTTTAGTAACAAAATATGTCTACGACTAATGAAATTGTTCATGTGGGTGAAGAAGAACAAGACAACAAGGTACAAGACCTGTTGCTTGCTTTCTCTCTATTTGTTACTTTGAAACTGGTATGTCCTGATTTAAGTTTCAGCACCACAACAATGTGTTTGTTTACTGCTTTTGTATCCCTGTTTACTGCTTATGTATAGTTCAACACTTATTCTAGCACACTGATTTCTTTCTGCCTGTTCTACTATGAATCCAAAACCCCTATCCCCCCTATGTGTTTAAGCTATGGTTTGAGGCATGGCAATACTGCAAGTTATTGTCCATGAATCAAATTTGATCCCCTGGGATCCTAGCCTCTAATAACATGTGTCTGGCAGGCTTATAGGTGTGCTAGCACTCTCCATTGGTAGGCATGCCTAGAGTCTGCCCTTGCCTAAGCAATAGGCTCTTTACAATCTCCCTATTCCCCTGAACCCCTTGTGTGTACTTATTTGCAGCTGGTTCCCTCTCCTTCTCCCTTTTAGTATTCTGATCTGCACTTGCACACCTTCTTAGCCTTTAAGTTCTACCCCCCTCTTGTGAGCCTTGCCTTGGGACCCTTTGAGTTCCCTCTGAACTTGGATACTTGAGGGCTAGCCTTTCCACACTACACTCATCCCCAATCTGATAATAAATGTGGGTATGAGCATTGCCCGAAGTCCCTTTTGAGGCTCTTAGGGAATTTTGACACACTCAAATGGGAGAAAGGTTTTGGATCATGATCTCTTGGAGTTGATTTACCTCATATTTCAGACATGAAGTCTGAATCATGCTCTCCTTGATTGTACTTTTATTTATATTTTTTCTGATGTATTTTTACCTTATTCCGGGCTGTAATAATTTGTAATAAACTCTTGGGGATGGTTAGTAAAAAGGGACGGGTAACTACGTATGCAAAGGGTAGATACCATGTCTATAGGAATTTTGAATTATGCATATGCACATAGAAATCATGCCTATAGGTCCTTCTAAGTTCTGTATGCCCATCATTCACTTAGATATCATGTTCATAGGTCTTAAACAATCAACTGCACTTAGATATCATGTTCATAGGTCTTAAACAATTTCTGCACTTAGATATCATGTTCATAGGTCTTAAACAATTTCTGCACTTAGATATCATATTCATAAGTTTAAAACGAGTCTTCTGCATTCTATACCATGTTCAAAATCAACTACGCATAGAAAGCATGTCTATAGGAATTCCTAATCGATCTGAATCGCTTCATTCACATATGGAACTAAAATCAGTAACAACGGTACTGTTAGCTGTAGAACTTATAATCTTCGTTAAAAACTGGCCTTTCTTTCAAAAATCTGACTCCTCTTTTAATCAGTATGTGTCCAGTTTATTTTAAACCCTGTTATTTCGTTGCTTTCTTAATTCAATAGATACCATGCCTATAGGATCATTGTCCAACACTTAGGCAAGCCTTAGGGTAAAGTTATAAATTAAATCAGTTCTGTTAATAAATACAACCAGCTGGCAGGCCTGATTCGGGCTTCTTATCTGAATTGTGTAATAAATCAGTCCGCCTCAACCTTTAAGCTCTTGCATGTTTAGTACTTAATCAGACCTTAACTAGTATGTGTATGTCATGCTAATTACGTGTTTCTTTGTTCAAGGAGGTATATCTGAGCCTCTGCTTGTTATGTGCTTTCCCCCAACTTGCTATATATGTTTTGTATGTCGCCTTAGAATTTTTGCCTTTGAAACCACAAATAAGCCTAACATCCCTTCCCTTTAGGATTACTAGTCCTCATGCCTCCGGGACTGATAGGATTGGGACGGGTAGTAGCATGCAATAGGTAAACGAGACCATTCCCCGCTTTAATACCTCAACGGGGTGGGAAGGGTATATATGGATATGATGACCACGCGATAATGTCACGTGTAGCCCCTCATTGAGGAGTGATTACCGGGCATTGTGTGGGGTGATCCATATTGTTAATAAACCTAGGACCCCTCTCCCTTTATTTCTTTCTTTTCAGCATTTTAACTCTTTATTTTTAAAAATCAGTTTTTTTAATTATTCTTTCAAATCTTGTTTACTTTCAAACCTTTATGTGATGAAATCCCCTCTTATTTGAGCCCTATTTGTTTATATGCTAATTGTACCCAAATTCACAATAATAGTCTGGTCGGGAACCGCACTAGTGAATTCTGAGGGGTGTCTAACACCTTCCCCTTAGAATAATTTCAAGCCCTTACCCAATCTCTGGTTACTCAAATCACATCTCCTTGGTGTCCTAATGCACCCCAATCATTAGGTGGTGACTCTTTAAATCAAACCCAATTCCCAAAAGGAATGAGTTGTCCTCCCAAATGTCATAAACCCGATTTCGCGAGAGAAAGGGGGCGCGACAACATGGCGACTCCACTGGGGACTTTTAGGCTTTTACCATTTCAAACCTTTATTGTGAATTTATGATTCTTCACGCACAATTATTTGTTTATTTCTTTTAAGCATTCAATTTTCTTTTCGATTGCAAAACTGGCTTGTCTCCCTTTTTCTTTTCTTTACTGCTTTCCTTTACTACTGCTTTAAATTATGAAAACTGTTGTATTTACTGCTTTCTTAAACATGAAAATACATGACTACATGCCTTTAACTGTTGCATAATCATGCTCAACATCATATTCCACTCGTGCCAAACAAAATCCTATAGCAACGCTTATAATAAGTGGTTACGCTCTTCCGATATTATCACCCCCTAAATCCGGAAACGGCATATTTGCAGTAAAACCAGTCGATCAACGGTGTAGTTGACGGTTCCGTGCCTTTCCCCCTTGAGTTGTCCGCTCAAGGGTACCAGTCTAAAACCCCATAGAAACCTCACTCTGTTTAACTGTGCATGCATCGTGGTCAAACCTAGCCGAGTCAGTTATGTTGTCCGCATAATGACTCTTTAAGATAGCCTTGTCCAAAGTCCATTGGGTTTCCCTGAAACTCAAACGGACATTATCACGTTCTATGCATTTATTTGGAGAACCAAATCCTTTTATGACAATTATTGATGTTAAATAGTTGAGTCCGGTGGGGGAAAGGGCCTAACCTTATTTTCTTGCAGATAATGAGGCACGAAATCCCCAGATTCGGCATGGTTACCAACATCCATCCGAGACTGCTAAGCTGGTAGAGAGATCTTCGTTCCAGTGACCAGACTCTTGTCAGAAAATATCTAGGGAATCTACCCTCCCTCCTGGAAATCCAACCCAGCAACAAGATCATAGAAGCTGCTACTCTCTTTTGGGATTGTGAAAGGTCCGTTTTCCGCTTCGGAGAAATTGAGATGACACCCTTGCTAGAAGAAATAGGAGGATTAGCCGGCTTGGTATGGGAGACTCCAAGTTTATTGATGCCTGAGAACCGCAAGGGCAGGGGTTTCCTCAAAATGATGGGTCTGAAGAAGAATCCAGAACTGACATGCCTCAAAGAATCCTATATCCCCTTTGATTATTTGTACGAGAGGTACGGTCACAGCAAATCCCACCGTACCTATCCTGATGAGTTTGCCATTACCTCATTGGGACATATCCATCGAAGGGACTTTGTATTCATGTTCTGTTTTCTGGGGTTGATTGTGTTTCCAATGAAGAAAGCAAGAATCCACACCCGACTAGCCATGGTTACTAAAACCTTAATGGAAGGAATTGGAGGGCAACCATTCAGCATTGTGCCCATGATCGTTGCAGAAATATACCGAGCCCTAGAGAAATGTCAACGGGGAGCTAGTCACTTCGAGGGTTGCAATTTGTTACTTCATCTGTGGCTCGTGGA